CATCATCACATCACCACACCACCATCATCACATCACCACACCACCATCATCACCATCACCACCATCATCACATCACCATCACCATCACCAAACCACCATCATCACATCACCATCACCACACCACCATCATGACCATCACCATCATCATCACATCACCATCATCATACCACCACCACACCACCATCACCACAATCATCATCACACCACCATCATCACATCACCATCACCACACCATCACATCATCACCACAATCATCACCATCACTACACCACCATCATCACATCGTCATCATAACCACCAACCAGCAGCGTAGCCAGCCCGACGATTTAGTCCCGCTATGCAAATATTTTCGTGCTCATCGACTGTGAAAACAATCAATTTCTAAATAAATGAATAATGATAATAATTTTGAATTTGCATAGCGGGACTGAATTGTCCATCATCATCATCATCACATTCATAATCATCATCACTGATTCGGTTATTTTTTCAAATTTTTTGTACAAAACGGCAAAAATAAATTAATGTTTTACACTTTTAACCACAGAACTGTCGATTTCTAACATATATAAAGTACGTATGTTATTTTGCTTTCTATGGGCTTTATTTTAATTCAAAAAGTCAAGACGAAACGCTTCGTAAAACGTTCTTAAACGTTGATTGAAATCAACTGTTTTTGCCAATAAATTCTTCAACTTTACATTACTCGTAGTTTGAAATAAAATAAATTTGAATGATACAGGTCGCTCTTGAAAAAAATTTTCTCCTTTTTGGAGCTATTATAAAAAATTAAAACAAGTTAATTCAAAGAAACGTTCACATAGAGTGAAAAGGAAAGCTTCGCATGTTCGGGCAGCACTTGTTTCCATCTACCAAACTGACTTGACGTCATTTCTGGAAGATATGTTAAATGGCTATGTAACTAACTCAAACCCTATCCCTACTCTAACCGCAACCCTAACCCTAACTAAATTAATAAAAAAAAATCCAAAAAGAAACAACTTTAGAAATTGATCAAATGACGTAACGTCAGTTTGACATAGAAATTGATCAAATGACGTAACGTCATTAATTGATCAAATGACGTAACGTCAGTTTGACATAGAAATTGATCAAATGACGTAACGTCATTAATTGATCAAATGACGTAACGTCAGATCATATGACGTAACTTCAGGCAAAAACTGGAAAGGAAAGTGAGTCGTACATAAACAGTAAAACCAAGTTTCTGGAAATGGTGATTTACAACTTGTTGTGTGAAACGTTGTCCAGGCTAAGTTTCTGTCATGCATGTTTTTTTTATTAAATCTTTGTTTTCTTCACTCCTGGTAAACAGTATATTCTTGAGATCAGTGAGATGACCACCCCATGCCCCATGCATAGCCATGCGCCCGCGATTATCGATGAGCTTAAGACTTCGCTAATGCTCTCGATCCATAATGTAATGCTTTCCATTCCCCGGGTGTAAATAGCCGAGCGAAATTAATACCGCTATGGCCTAAGAAATGAGATTGTTTAAACTTTTTTCGTCATTTAGAAGCCCCGAGGACGATCCTGGTTGCGGCGGATGCAAAGCCGTTTGTAACACAGAAAACGACTGTTGTACTGGAGCTGCATGCATCACTGGGAGGTGTTGGCATCACATGTGTGGACTTAGATCTCAAAGGTAAAACGTAGTTCAAACTAGATATTAGAGACCTTACAATTTTAGGACGGCGACGGCCAAAACAAACTCCTTCAAATAAATGGTAGCAAATGAAGTTCGTGGTATATTATCAATCGTATGAATTTAATACAGTTTTAGAAGTTGAAGACATTGGTTTTATGGTTGGGGTTGAAGTTGCACTTGTTGCGGCTTGGAATGCAGCCGTTGTATCAAGACGTGAAAATATGTGATTTGGCGTTGTAAGCAGAGTGAGGACAACGTCTAAATTATTCATATGTTGTAATTACTCTATTCTTTTCAATGATCTATTGTATTGGTAGCCGTTGCCGTCGCGTTGCCGTCCTAAAATCGTAAGGTCTCTATTGAAAAACGATTCAAAGAGGCATTAATAATTCATGAGGAAAACACAAAGAAATATCATAAGCGTGTCGTATCATTATATGTGATAGAGATTTCCCTTGATTTACTGTACATAAACTTTAACTTTGATTTTCTCGACTTAACACAACGTATTTTTGAAAATTACCTCGTGAATGAACTTACTAGATCGATCGTTTTTTAAGCAATTTAAAATATTCGCAGTGCGTGTTTATCAGACCTAAAGATACTCGGCTTCGCCTCGTATCTTTATATCTGATAAAACACTGCTGCTCATGTTTTAACAAACACTTCAAAACACAATAATCAGGAACTTAAATTTTTTTTCGGCGTAGTATATAATTATTAAAGATATCCCAAGCCGTCAGCATAATAACGGCTGGACTATATTTTAATACCATTCCTTATATACTAGTGACGCTCCAAGGACTAGCAAGTTGGAAAATTTGTTCAAAAGGTAGGACAAGATTTGTTTCACCACGCATATAGTACGTCCAGAGGGCGCTGAAGGGGGCTCTAGATCCCATTTCCAATTCTCATCAATTATTAAATCGTAACTGATAATTTTCACTCTCATTTTTTCAGATTCTTGGAAAAAGCATTGAAAGAAAAGCATGACGACACACCACGACAGTAATTATAAATCTGCTATTTAAAATAACGCATTAATTAGAATTGTTTAAAGACATCTTACTTCTTGAAACATTTTAAACATTAATTTGCTTTTTGTTTTATTTAACCGATCTTTTTTCCAAACTTACATTAGCAATTTGCCCCCAACCTCAATTTCTGCTGCCCCTTAACCCCCCCCCCCCACCTTTGTATGCTTACGGTCTATTTTAAATAAAAGTACAAGCTATGTATAGAATGATGTTTTGGGGGTTTTGTCAGTCCAAGTGAGTATATATACACTTTAAGACCTGACCAGGAACGACTGCGAAAAATGCAGCACAAGGTCCTCTGGTAGGAATCGAACCTACGGATATGAAGGTTCAAGTCCTACAGAGGACCTTGTGCTGCATTTTTCGCAGTCGTTCCTGGTCAGGTCTTAAAGTGTATATATACTCACTTGGATTACAAACCCCCAAAAACAGCATTCTAATATTAACTCCGCCAAGTGAAGTGCAAGCAACCAGATTATTGAAATCCAAGCTAAGTATAACGTACGAGTCACAATTTACTTTAGGAACTGAGTTACTATTTTTCAGTTAAGACTTTTAGGGTTAGGATTTAGGGTTTGGATTAGGGAAAGTGTTAGGGAGATTAGGGTTCGGATTAGAGTATTAGAGTTATGTTTAGGATTACGGTTAAGTTTAAAATACAAAAGAATACAACATTACAAAAGTCTAAAAATAGTAACTCTTCCTAAAATGTGACAGGTATAAATATCAAGATTTTGTTGGCTCACTATATGTATAAATTAAATATCAAGATTTTGTTGGCTCACTATATGTATAAATTAAATATCAAGATTTTGTTGGCTGTGGTTAGGTCTATAATAAATGCACATAAATTTCGATAATTCCATCTACAATACCCTCTATGTATAAACTAGCAATATTTTTTAGTTTTAAAAACGTCTACCCTGATTGTGATCCGGTCTTATTTTTTTCTCCTATAGTCCATTCGTACGTCACAATGATGAGCCAAAAGAAGCTGACATGCCAAACGATTATTAAATGCGTGAAATGTAAAACACATTTGCCTGGATTATGTTTGCTAACCGAATGTATAATATAAGTAGGGTAGTATTAACCATAATGTAATCAGTTTGCACCAGGACGATCAATAATCAGTGTCACCATATAAAGTTTAATTGAAAAGAACTCACTTGTTCAATGGAAAATAAATATGTCTCACTTAATAATTAATAAACTAGTGTCAATTTAAAATTCTTCTATACTCTTTTACCTATATATAATAATGCATGCATGAATCTGGCTTGTTTTACAATTGGCTCAGTGTTAACACAGAGTCATTTCCCTCAAACTCAAAAAATTCTTACAAATTCTTCAGAACTTACAATTTATCGATGCAAAATTCCTACTGTGATCACAGAAACTTCGATAGGGTAAACCATGCAGCTTTTAATCCTTACTTAAGTCCACATACTTTTGTCCAATATTTAAACAGTATCTGGGTATAGACTCTTAATTAGCATCTGAGCAATTGGTTTGATTGTACAATTTTCTGGTATTCTTCATAACCACTTTGATCAAATTTAACCAGAAATAAAATTTTGTTAAGATTTCATCTGGCGTAAAAAAAAATACCTGTGGTTCCGTTCCCGACCGACCCTATTTTTTTCTGCCGACCCTATTATTTTTTCAACGCGATTGACCGTGCGACCCTATTTTCTCCGGGTGGTTGCGGGCTGCTGCCAAAATGCTGTCTCTAAATTTTTGTCACACTAATTATCAAAAAAAAAATTATTTCCAACCTACCGACCCTAATTTTTTCGCGATATGAAACCGGAACCACAGGTATTTTCCAAGGGGAGGAGTAATTCTCACATGGAATTTCCAAAGGGAGGGGGTAAATTTGATGGGATGGAAATTCCATGGGAGGACATATGTTAGAGGGAAATTTCCAGGAGTAAATGTCCCATGATGGAAATTCCATAGGGAGGGGTAATTTACACATGGAAATTCCATACACAAGGAGGAGACAGAATTGTGACCAAAACATTACTGAATTGTTGAAATCTCTACAAATTTTAAGCAGGCTATTATTTTACCGAAATTTTACTAAAAAAAAACCATTACTAAAATTTTTCGTAAAGTAAAATATTTTACCAAATCTGGTCACACTTATTGACTGTAGTTCGTTTCACATGCTTGCCCAACTGCAGTGTTGTCCAATCACAAATGCAGTTGCTACTTTTAGAGTTTTTCCTTACTGTCGATGCAATATGGAAGTGTTGATAAAATATTGCACCAATTCCTTTCCTCAAGTTTATCAATTCATTTGATAGAAAATTGATCAACTTCCTGTTACTTTTAGATGAGCCAATTAGATTTCGTTCAGAACCGATTGACTAATAGGAAATGCACAGGAAGTAAAAAGAAATTTGAATTTGTCAACTTGAGGAAATGAATTCATGCAATATTTTATCAACACTTCCATTGCATCGACAGTAAAAACAGGAAATTTGCAATGCATAGTGTTAGCACCTGGGGTATCTGAAAATATCTCTGCCAATAAATCCTTAGAGCAGACTGCAATAAGTACAGAAGTACACAATTCAATTATACTAGTCAGAATACTTTATCCCCGAGCCGGCGGCGCGAAGCGCCGTGCGAGGGTACTAATTCCCCCCGGCTATTTACACCCGGGGAAACGAAAGCATTAGGGAAGTCTAAAGTTCATCAAATATCGCGGGCGTGGGTCACTGTGCGTGTTTCGGTGGGTGGTCATCCTCACTGATCTCATAATATAGCGGACTGTAATGAATAGCCAACACTGATTGGTCCAATTTAAAATTGCAATTATAACGGCTGCATGACGATTGACGACAGCGAAATTGATTTGATGATTTCTTGCAAATATATTTCATTTTTGCAAGATTTTGTAAATTGCAAAGGATTTTTGATGAATTAAAGGCAAGACGATTGCTAAAAGAAGGAAGTAAAGGTGCCGACGTTAACGAAGGTAAGTTTGTTTTAAATATTGATGCATCGTTTGCTTTTAATATACTGTAATCTCGGCTGTAATTACTTTAAAAGCCGATCGTTGCGTACATAAAATATGAAACAAGACAGCGTATTATTTCAGTGTTTCTTTATTGATTACACTTTTTATTTATATACTAAGCAAAGTTATTTGCATGGGAGAATTTGGAATCATTTTATTACGAACTCAAAGTTTATCGATAAAGGCAGTTTAGTTCTATAGTAAAATAACATTTTAAAACGTTTTGCGAAGAATTTGTGGTTGAATTTTACCTTAAACTCAAGCTTATATTACGTATAATAACATACCTAACATATATATGTTTAGGAAATTGATAATTTTGTAATTAAAAGTGATATTTATAGGGGATTTTTCATTTGTAAAAATATTCTTAAAAACTTATCGTGTTACCATGACAACTACTTAAAATACTTCACGTTCGGAAAATAAAAAGGTTTTGTCTGCAAGGCGAGGGTTTCTGCATGCATGTATTTTCTAGTAGTGGTGTAATTTTAAGTTTGCATCATCAACCTGCAAAATTCCTGGCAACCTGAAAAATTCCAACCTGCAAAATTCCCAACCTGCAAAATTCCAACCTGCAACCTGCGTTTTGTACCTGCCGTATTTTATGTACAGTAAGGAATTTCTAGGAAAACTAAGCAATTTGAGAGATCATGCAAAGGAATTCATCCAATATAATTAACATTAATATTTAATTTATCCAATGTTAATATATTAATATGTAAATTAACAATTATTCGCCGAAGGCAAAGTGATTACCAGTGAATATATTCACCAAGACGAAGTCGAGCCCTGTTTAGCTTTAAAGATGCGGTACAGTCTGTATGCAAACAAAGGCTTTGTTTACATTTCGGTATCTAAAATATTGAATTTTATTCGACAACTATTTATATTTTCATGATTCTAGAGTATATATAATAAATTAAGGAGAGACAACAATCAAGCTTTGCAAGAACATAAAATGAAATGAAAACCCTAAATAAACTGTTTGTAAATATAAAGAGGGCTTCTTTGTACACATGCGCAGACCGGACTGTACCGCATCTTTATTTTGTTCAGGAAATGGCTGAGAAAATTGATAAAATGAAAACATGCAATAATTTGCTCGAAATGTTTTTTAAAATACACTTTTCACTTCACAAGTTTCGAAAACACAATACAGCGGTCAGGACACAATAAAAACACGACATATCAAAAGAAAAACTACCGTACAAATTGAGATATCTATAGGATACAAAACAAAATGGTTTTACACTGAAAGAATGGCAAGATTTTTCATACCCAACAGTCGAATTGTCCATGAAATATATGTTTTACACAGTAAAATAATAAAGGATTCCTACCTCAAGTTAAGCACAAAATTTTGTGTTTCTTTCGTTTTCTGGGGACGATTTTTTTCAATATTTCGTCGATTTTGAAACAATTATTTCGGCAGAACGGCCCAGAGCCCCAGAACCAACTATTCTTTTTGAGAAATTTACCTAATTACCTAGTAAAATATGCGTGTACTTGTCAACTAGCCAATCAGAACGTGCGAAAGCTTATTGGTATGCAAAATTTATACTAATTATGTCTATTTTATGCAAAATTTATACTAATTATGTCTATTTTGCAAAAATTTTTATATGGATTCAAATGTTTTGATTGTTTTCACACAAAGTCGAAGCGTCGACAACATTTTTATATACAGGTAAGGATTGATTTTACGTATTGTATATAGAAAATTAACAGGTATAATTTGGACATTTACCAAGATGTCGACATATAAAGCATTCAATATGAGCACGTGAATAAATGCTTGACTTGTCATATAAGATTTTTTTTTGTAAACAAAGATCCTTTACTAGTACGGATCGCCGAAGATGTCGAGTTCCGCTCGACGGCTCGAGACAACAAACATAGGCAACTGTGTGGTTCTGGAAATATGAATAAACTATAAAAGATTTATCCAGAACCGCAGGAAATACAAGGAAATACACTATGGCGGGAAATTCACACTTCAGGTTTAATATCTTCAAAACGAAGCAAGAAAACAAAAGTCTATCAAAGAAGTTATGGTACAATTTTTTTTTCTGTGTTGGTGTTGTGTACTCAGGTGAATACGATGTTTGTGATGTTACTCTGAGTGTATATCCACACCTGGCGAGCTTGAAAAATATGCCCGGCCACGGTGGGAATCGAACCTACGACCTTTGGAATACGGTACAGTTTTCAATGATCTTTTACGGTACAGTTTTCAATGATCTTTCGCATTAGACAAAAAATAACGTCAATTTCGAGTCGTGTGCCCTTCAACGTTACAGTGAACTACACAAAGTCATTGTGAAGGTCCAAGGAGGAGGCCACGTTTAATACACAAACCGTACACCAGAGCAGAACGCTACGAGTGCTAATTTACATTTAATTTGTATACTAGTGTTAAATTTAAAAAGATTTAAACTTTTTGCTTTTCCGATTTAAACAGTTCGCCGTCTTGGATTATTGAGGATATATATTAAAGAGAGGGGGTTGCTCTCTGAAATTTAGAAATGATTCAGTAAAAACATTTCAAACAATTTTGGATTATATGGTTACCAGTAAGAGGAGTTTTTTGTATGTTATGAGGGTTATGACTTGTGTAACACACACTCAAAAGTCAAAACTACCACTTGCTCTTATGACTACTCATCCAAAAATTTTATTTTTCGATACGTTTCTCAATCGGCAAACAAACTTAAAGTATGTTCAGTCCTTTATCTGTAAAATAATGCCAAAATGAAGAGATTTTAGATGGTACGCCAAAGAGAAAATGACGTCTGAAGTTCAGCAGTTTGGCTTATAATTGCTGTAAATATGGCGTCACTTTTAATTAAAGCGTCATTGATAATTGTATTTTAATAGACAATTTTTTACCATTAGTTTCTCAACCGGCAGATGCATTTAAAAAGGTAGCTATAACTCTATAAACTAGAGAATAAAGCTAAAACAAAGCAATTTTGAGATGTACGCCAAAAAGATTTTCGGTTTTCATCGCAAATACTACCCTGGATTCCAGAGCCTTCGACAGTAAATAATAAATTGAAACGTCGCGAAGGCTCTGGTTCAACCGCGGGGAGATTCTTTGATTAAACCGCGCCAATCACAAAAAAAGAAATAGTGGTTTTAGTACAGATTCTGTACAAACTATCCGCAAACGACAGAAAGTTGCTGAGCTAGCTGCCACGCGAGACGGTTAGCTCTGCAACTTGCTCTCGTGTGCGGCAGGCTCCATTCAGCCATGTTTCTACGGAATGTTTTGAATTTTATATGTATGCAGAAATGATATTAATTAACCTTATCCTTTTATTACGTTACCGTTTTATTCACGCTCTTTCATAAAAGTTTCAACCATTTTATTTCGATTTCTACGTATTATATTATAAATATGTATTTCTTTATGTATATGAACGATAGATCATTCGAAAACTAATAAACTATGCCGGATTTTCGGTTATTCTTAAGAGTTAAGCCGGTTTAATTTTCCACTTCAAGGCTCAAGCCATGCTCAAGCGTATCGTACCGAAACGTATCAAAAACGTTTTTAAATTTCAAAATTTCGTGAATGTTGATTGGTTAGTTAATACTTCCGTAGTACGCCAAAAAGTTGACTTGCGACGAAATTTTTATTTTGATACGCGAATACACCAGGGCTCGAATTTTATCGCGGCAATTGCCGTAGAAGGAGAACAAATGCCGTGGATCAATGCGGCAACGACGGCAATTTTTTGCCGTATAGTGCAATTTTTATACTATTCAGATGTTGATCAAATCATGCGTCAGATGTTGATCAAATCATGCGTAAATCACTATTTTAGTCTGAGTTTTCTTAAAAAAAAAACACTAAAGAAATACGTAGACATGTTTCTAGCTTGTCAAAAATCCAAAGTAACAATAAAATTAAAGTTTTATTACAGTATAAATTTGAAAAATGCCGTGGAAACTGTCAAAATTTAACGTCATTGCCGTCGATTGATTTCAGGGGAAATTCGAGGCCTGGAATACACCCAGACGTACGTGGATTTATGAACCTCTTTTCAATCTGCGCATGCTCATACACCAGTACGTTTCGGTACGATACGGGCGAAGTGGAAAACCGGCTTAAAGTCTAATTTGGAGTCGTCTTCCACTACATGTATGTTCGCATAGTTGATATATGGTTGTGTGTGTTCACACTCGCAGTTTGCATTAAGTTTGTTTAACGTCGTTTGTGTGTACAATTTTCAGCCACAATTTGTCAAATTTGACGCCTTCAAAATAATGAATAATGAAAAAAGCCGCATCAATGGTGATGGTAAACTGATACCTTAGGGACCGATCATTATTTAAGGCAGGGGGTGGCACCGAAGAGAAAAGGGTTGGGTAAACAAATTTTTGAGTGAGTAAAAGGTTGAGTAAATGAAAAACAAAACAACTCAAAGGTTGGGCAATAAAAAATTATTGTCATTTCCAAAGCATGACTCACTTAAATATTGGAGACTAAAAAGCAATGTCAACAGTCATATGTAAATACAATATGTGAATCAATCAGAGTCACTCTCTTGTCTATCTTGATCTTTTTCCGATTTGTTGGGAGACAAATGGTGTCTCCAAAGAAAGTACATGTG